TATATATATATATATATATATATATATATATATGTGTGTGAATATATATATGTGTGTGTATATATATATATATATATATATGTGTGTGTGTGTGTGTGCGTGTGTGATGTTTTAATTTAAATGTCGGTTGAGTTTTAAAGTTATTGCTGTTACCACAGGTGTCTGAATTCCAGAACCTACATGTTGGTTGATTTGAAAGAATAGGTCACAAAGACTCTACTTCTTCTCTTAAGTCCTGTTATGTTCCTAAATAAAAATCCCATCAGCTGTTGATAGTATTATATCATATCTGTAGTTGTTGGGAGCACCAGAAAATCTGCACCAAAGTGATACACATATCACACAGAGTAGCTTAACCAGACAGGTGGGCTGGGTTACTGAGCAGAGGTTGCTCACTTAAACTTCCAACCTCAGTGTGTGACTCCACAATTGCACTTCTGGGCGAAAGCTTACCATAAAGAAGTTGAAACTGTTTCAGTTGCGAAGAATGTTCTGACATTTTATCAAACGCAGTGAAATAACAACGGAAATATTTATAAGGACATAAGTGTTTAAACAGATCTATACTTTCAGCAGTATAGGGCATGTGAGTAAAGTTATTCTGCATCTCAGCTAAAATTAGGATATTTCACATATTTGCTCTTCAACTGCCTGATTTTGTGTTCGTGAAACCATTTAATCCATTATGATGTGCTTAAGCTTGTATCCTAATAATCTTATTTTCCTGATGTGACTCCAAAGTAACAACAAAACATTAACATGCTAAGCTTTTTAACCTAGCAAAGTCACTTCATGTTATTTAACTTGATGAAAACCCACTATACTCATCTTAAAAATCTGATATCACATTATCTCATCTCCTCATTGCTCTTTCTCAGCCAAAAAGCAGCTGTAAGGATGCCAAAGAAGTTCCAGGGCGAGAACTCCAAGGCGGCCACTGCCAAAGCTCGCAAGGCAGAAGCTAAGGCAATGGCAGACGCCCGCAAGAAGAAAGAAGAAGAGGACGCCCTTTGGCAAGAAACAGATAAACATGTACTTAAAAAGGAACAGAGGAAGGTGAGCAGAGATGCCCAACCTTCACCATAAGACCAATTTCATTACATGTTAACACTTTGGTGGAGTTTTAAACAAAACTGTGATCTGTTAGGATTACGAACAGCTTTTTAATCACTACATTTTCTTATGCCCACTGTTTGTTCCATTTTTTGTTCTCGAAAACCTTTTGTTGGGATCAAAATAACAGCTGCTGGAGAGGAAAAGAAACTTTGTTTCCTAAAATATTTATTTGGAAAAATCAGAAACCAGTGGCATGCTTGTTTACTCAACACCTCTGCCTCTGATTTGCATCAGAAAACCCCTTTTTTATTAGAAAACCGTAATAAACGGCTTTAAAAACAGATGGGTCAGAGGAAAAGTTTAAAGTTGGATCAGTTTATAAAACACCTAACAAGCTCAGAAGCTCTCATTGAGCACTGTTCATTTTATCTGCAAATTGAAAAGAGTTCACAGTTAATCAGAATTACTTTTAATGCCTTGCGGGAAATTCTTTTCTTGCAGTGCAACCGTTTACAGAAGAGAGAAAAATAAGATTGTAAGTACAAATAAGATATAAGATAAGGAAAATTAAATAACTTACTAAGTTGGTTGGTATATGGAAGGAGCTTAAATACAGGAGAACCATAAAGGAGAGCCTGTTTTTTGTTTTGTTTTTTTACTGAGGAAAATGTATAGAGGCTCATTATAAATGAATACTTGCAGAATGAGCGTCTTATACACTCAAGGCAAATGAAGCTCAGGAGTAGTTTTGTCTGTAATTTTGGTCTGTTTTATAGAAAAGGTTTTAAGGATCTCTCTTCTATACATATATAATGGCTAATCCCTGGTACTTTGTGTTGGGAAAACTAGCTGAATCAACTTTCTCTTGCCACAGGATGAAAAGGAGAAGAGGCGACTGGAGCTTCTTGAGAGGAAAAAGGAAAACCAGCGCCTCCTGGATGAGGAGAGCGCTAGGATAAAAGGAAAAATTCAGAAGGAGGCAGGATCCGGTGGAAAAGTGACCCGTGCCGAAATTCAGGAAATACTTCAAAATGAGCAACAGCAGCAGCAAGACATCAAGCCTAAAGGTAAAAGTCGGTTTGGAGGTACTGGACCAGGTGTGTTAGGGTTAGGGTGGAAATAAAATAAAAAACATTTCATCCATACAGAAAAAAGCCACCTGGAGACTCCTCTGGAAGAGAATATTAACAGAGTTATAGCTGAAGAAGGAACCGTGGAAGCACGAACAATAGAGGACGCCATCGCTGTGCTCAGGTACCAGACGTGTGAATGATCAAGATGCGTGTATTTTAGATGGTTTATGCTTTTTGTCACTGTTGACTTTTTTCTTACTGTGTCTCAGTACGGGCCCTGAAGACCTGGACCGTCATCCAGAGCGGAGGATGAAAGCAGCTTTTACTGCCTTCGAGGAAGCAAACATGCCCCGACTAAAAATGGAGAACCCAAACATGCGGCTGTCGCAGCTGAAGCAACAGCTGAAAAAGGAGTGGGCTAAATCTCCTGAGAACCCTCTGAACCAGCGTTTTGCCACCTATAACTCAAAGTGAATTTTGTTTATTTTATATTATCGCTTGAAAACTCTGCTTAAGCAATTTAGAGACTTTGATCTGAAAAAACTAATAATTTCACCAAAAACGAGTTGTCTTTGAGGAGAGCTCCATCAGCAAGCACCCACACACCTTCTCGTGTGCCAGAGGACTTGACTTTATTGTTTAAATTAGTAGAAAGGTAAAACTGATTATCTGCTTCCAAAATAACGACTCTGTCATGTTTGTGCACATCCTCTAATGAGGCAACTCAACATCTCATGAATTAAAGTACTTATTTTTTAGTCCTTCTGGGAAGGTGGGAAGCCAGATGTTTTCAGAATAACTTATTAAAGTTCACAGCTAAATCATCAACATGTGTTGTTTTGGTCTGTGCAGCGCAAACGGATTGAATGGAAATGTTGCAAGTGTAAGTCACATTTGTTTAATAAAGAGGATAAGTAAAAGATTTAATTCCAGGTCACATAGTGTACACCAACCAATGAATTTTGGAAATATATTATGTATAACTTTTTTTCTATCTCAGATTATTCTAGTAGGTAATGATTATTTTATTTTTTTGTAGTTCAAAAGGAACGATTTTAATCGCTTATTTAAATATATCTTCAAATAAATAGATAATATTACCCACAATACTCTATCAGTGTGTTTTAAATGTAAAAGAGCAGTTACCAATGAGAATCCTAGTCACGATACAATAATGTACAAACAATTATGAGCTACAAGTATTGCATTGATAAACGTATGAAATGTAGATTATAATGAAATTAAGTTGCAGCATCTCATATTTCAGTTCAGTTCTAATCCCACATTTGACACTTTCCTGATTTAAAAGTGTTCACCGTTCTAAAGTTTAGGTGCAGCAAAGCAAACATCCTCTTCATTTTCTGCTCTAACTCATCTTCCCCACATGGGTTTAGCTACCTTTTGAGAGCAGAGGTGTCGGGTCACTACAGATAGTTACTGTACTTAAGGTGTTTTTTTTTGTTTGTTTTTTTTGTTTTACCTGTAATCGACTTCAGGATTCTTTTTTGCTTTTTAACACCACCTTTGATCATAAATATCTGTACTTTCTACTGCTTACTCTCTTAATCAAAACTTGCTTCTTACTTCTACATATTGATTACAACATAACGGTTCCAAAACAAGAAATAAGAGAAAATCCAAATCACAAAAAGAATGTCCAGTAAGAGCATAGTTTGTTTATAGAAAACTACGAGTACTAAAATGACCTCAATAAAGACTAGGAGGAGGAGGCTAGGAATCTTTACAGATGATGGATGTCATTGTCTGAGATGAAAGACTATCCCCATCAGTCCCTCTTTATTAGATCTTAATTTTACATATTGATTATGGATTAAGTTCTGTTTTATTTTAATATTCTTTGAAACTTATTTGTGAATATCAAAGTATTTGGCTGCTTATGCAAAACAGTTGATTACAGTTATTATTCTATCTCATATTTTAATTTAAAACAAAACCAGATCAAGTCTGTATTTTATGCTCTCTCTAAGACAAAAAGAAAATGAACCTATTTTCTATGCATATAAAAAAACTCTTATAGAATAAGTAATTTTGCATCAATTAAGGCAAAAACTTCATTTTACTTTTGTACTGAACTATGATGTAGAGCCTGTACTTTATTCATAGATAAGTTCAGTTAGTCTTTTTTTTTTTTTTTTTACGTAGGTATCCTTATTTGTAAAGTTAAAAAAACTTGTTCTATTAGTACTTTTGAGACCTTTGTGAGAGTCGAACCTTTTAGAAACTAAGGTGCTAATTTGCTGAAGAATAAAAAAACAATAAAATCATAAACTATTCTAAAGTGAAAGGAGATCCCCACACAGTGAAGTAAAGCTAAGACGTGTGAGAATTTCCTACCAAAAATCAGGACTTATTAATTTTTTTTTGTTGTCACAAATTAGCAGAAAATGAGAGGAAACTGAACTAAAGATTGTTCCAAAAGTTCTATTTGTAAAATATGGAGAACCACACTAGTTAAAATCTTCAAATGAATCCCTAATGTTGAAGATAAACTAGGCCTATTTCATATTGTTCAATAATAAATCACTATTATCTTTTAGGCATATACTTACTGTACTTTAAAGACTAAGAAGAGTCTTAAAAATCTGTGTTTTATTTTCCCACAATCAGTTTCCTTTGTCCTTATCTATCCAAACCTGAAAGATAAGCAACGTAAATTCCATTATTTTTAAGAATGTTCTTGAACCCTGATCTAATAAGAATACTTCTTAAATGACCCTGGTTAAATGTTTTAAATGTATATATCCCTATTATCAATCAAAATGTTAGTCAAAGAAAAAAATAGCATTTTGTCTATATTTCACATATTTAATACAGATACTGTTAAAATATTGAGCTGCTGAAATCAGAAGCAGCAGACTTCACAGAGTTTTATGATGCAACAGTACACAGATGACAAAAATTAGCATTTTTAAAACATTTCTTATACAGGCCTTAGGTAAAACTATTTGAAACTCTATTTGTTAAAGCATCATAAAAAAATAAAAACAAGAGAAATACAATTTTGTTTCGATCCAAGAAAAAATAAACAATGTTATGTTTCTAGAACTGATCAAGCTGCTTCTGTGTCACAAACATTTAAGACAAATAAGATTTGGTTAAATAACAACCACCTGAGTAGATCATATTTTCTCTCTTAACAGAATGACTGGTGATTTGAAACAAACCTCATTATACACTGGTTGTTATATCGGACCTGTTAGATCTTCTAAGACACAGATGATGAGGCCTTGTGCTGCTTGGCATGATTCATTCAGAGCCCAGTTTAAAAATGGACACTTTTGTGCGGCAGGCTCTTGTGGCGGGAGAGATAAGAGACGGTGCAAAAGGCCTTTGAACCACAAGCTTTAATAACAACTTCAAATGACCTTTTATTTTCCACTTTGTAATGAATGTTAGAGATTGGCTTTGTTTTCCTTCCCAACCTACCTGTCCTCTTCCCATTTATCTACTGTGGTCTGATGTTACACATTTTTTTTATTTTTCCCCTCTGTGTCCCAACCTGAACCCTCCCACTCCCTTCTATTTGCATGGCAACCCTTCACCAAGGCAGCTGTCGCTTATTTCTTCCTTCATGTTGAATTCTAATTATTACTTTCAAAGGAAAGCATCTCTAAAGCTCCTTTATCAAGTGTCCAGACTGGGAGCAGACAAGCGGCTATCTAAAACCCACTCAGGCTGCTCCTCTTCTTCACCTTGACACATCTTTTCTGTTGATGGGGGGCATTTTGGTTTGCATGCTACATCTTCAACTTTGGATGGAATAAAAAAAAAAGCAGGAAGCAGGTAAGGATCACCTGTGCTGGTAATGATCTTTCTTTTCTTTTTGGTTATCAGGAAAAATTGAAGAAATAAATCAAACTTGTTATCCCTGAATTTAAAAGATCATGTTAGTTGGCTCCATATTATATTTTAAGGATGAATTACATTATGAAAGCATCTTGGCATAGTTCTAACTAATAAAATCCATTTTAAAAGCATTTTAATTCAGCTTTTTTTCAATCTTTTCTGTTAAAGGTTAAGATATGTTGGTAGACAATAGATTAAAGTTCTAAAAATGTAATTATTTTCTTAATGTTTACAGATAATAGAGTGATCTTACGGTAACAAGACGTAATTCAAAATTGGTAATGAATTAGAAATGTTTTTCAAAGAAATTAAATAAACACAAAAGTCTTTCTGGGTTTTTCTAAACAGACGATGGGGGGCTATGTCTGTTTTTGACAGGTTGTGTCTTATTAGCAACCTCATGTAAAAACAAACTGAAAAACAACCAATTGCTTCAAAAAACATGACTACAAGTATTTCCTTCATTTGCAAAAAGAAAGAGGTTACAGTATATGAACAAATGAGAAGATTAAAACAAACACCCTTTAAAAAGAGTTCAAATATGGAGAAAATTAGACATCTTATTCCCTAAAATTTTTAGTTTAGACATAAAGAATGCAATCTAACCTTGATAAGCCTGTGTTTCCTGCCCTTGGAACAGTTATACGAAAATTACTTGTCAAAATATAAGTCCTCCATCACAAAGGGTTTCCAGGAGAAGTTTTGCTCGTAAGTTAATTCCTGATAACTTTTTAATCTTGACTCCATTTGGCTGATAGCAAAATGAGTGCTGGACAAATGTATACATTGTCATAATCTAAAAAATATTTTAAGAGGTTTATACAACCTGAGTGATTCATGCTTTGCTCTAAACATGAGTTTTCTCTTGAAAAATTTCAACCTGAACTTTAAAATGTTCTGGTGAATTGGCTGAAAAAGGTGCTTTTTATCATTCTGTTGGTCCATAAACAATAACTTACCAATTGAAGCTTTTTATTCCTGCTTATTTTTATGGTATTGCTTTCATACTTGATTTCATGATGCCACTGGTGGCATTAATCATCTTGACATTTCTTCAAAATTAAGTTTAACAACAAAAATGGTCACAGTAAAAGCCTGTTTGTGGTGTATTTGTTACAATAGATTTTAAAACCGCTAAAAACAATATATTGGTGTATGAGGCTGTTTTTGTTGTCATAGTGATCTTATTAAATGGACTTAAAAGCAAGGCTCATGTAGGGAACCAGCTGTCAGTGTTGAAAATCTCTTTGTAATATTCAGAAAAAGAGATTTTTTTCCTATTGAAATCTGTTGTGTTTCTTACTCTGTGTTGAAACAAATGGATGTCATGTCTTTTCAGTCTTGCAGTGAAAACATGAGGTTGATTCTGGTTAAACCCACCAATGCGACAAGACGTCTTGACTCAACAGGTGAAGTCTTTCAAGATGGAGAACATCAACCTTGCGCTACAGGAGGTCCTGAGGAGAAACACCATCCGTTCTCTGGAAGCCCAGGCAAGTCCTCCTCATCTCCCCAGAAGAAGAGTATCTGCTGTGCTTCATCTTCCCTCCATGAGAAATCTAATGGAATCTGTCCTCCAAGAGGTTTGGCTCAGAGGTCACCTGAGAAAACCCAGAACCTCTCACTGTCACAGCTCAGTGACCAAGATTGGCAGATGCTTTGTGGCGAGGATCTACGCTTAGCAGGAAGAACCGAAGATGCTGTGGAAAATTCAACTCATAGGGATAGATGTGGCTGCCCCTGTCCGGATGCTCTCCAACAGGCTGAAGTCTTAAGCTTACAGCCACAATCAAATAGAGAAAACATCTCAAGACTGCGAAGTAAAAGAAGTGTTTCATCACCTCATACCCTGCCCTTCTCTGAAAGCATCCACCCTTCCACCACTTGCCAGGTTTCAACACAACCACCAAATAACAAAGATCATCGGAAACCTCCTACATACCACACAAAGAACACCATCGTGCCTCAGTGCTATGAGCAAGATTGTGATAAAGAACAGCGTTGCAGAGCCAGAGACTGCAGCCGTTTAGCTCCGTCAGAGCTGTTCAACATTCCTCTGAACTCAGCTCAGTGTGCCATAGCGAATAACAAACTTTCTGCAGTTGGTTCAGATGTCAACTGGAGCGAGCTTTTTGGCAAAGAACCTCTTTTGGCGCAGCAGTACCAAAGGAGAGAATCTCACTGCTCCCTAACTGGTGATCAAACATGGAAGCCATCTGGAGAGTCAGCATTTGCTCTCAAGTGTCGCCATCTTCCTTACAACCGCCTGACCAGAATGCCGTGGGGAAAGAGGTCAGTTACACCAGCCAGTCAGAGAAGTTTCATGTCTTTCTCCACCAGCCAGTGTAGTTTGCTTGAAAACCAGGATTTAACGGAGAGAACAAGAGAGCAAGAGGGTCAGGTATGTCAGTTTTTGTGTGCGTATTTCTATTGAAATATTTGCAAATGTTGTTACTCTCAAGGCAATTGGAAATTCCCTGTTTCATGCCGAATGTCACCATCTTTTGCAGGAAGCATTTCCACATCTCATTGCATCCAAACTATCTCCTCCCAAACCATTTCCTCCATTTACCGAGACCCTAGATAGTGACAATGTCCAAAATGGGGATGCAGTGCGGCCACTCAGCAGCCTGGGTACTTTAAGCTCAAGTTTTGCAGATTTTCCTTCAGACCAGCAGCAACTTCAGCTGCTTCACAGTGCCATCCTAGACGACACCTTGTCCAAGACAACTGGAGAAGACTCTAGTAAGGCCACCAGAGAGAGCCTGAACAGGTCCGAGGGAAGCAAACCACAGAAGAAGACGAAGGACATCAGCTATCGGCTGGGTCAGAGGAGAGCCTTGTTTGGGAAGCGCAAACAGCTGAGCGACTACGCGCTGGTCTGTGGGATGTTTGGTATTATTGCCATGGTCATTGAGACAGAGCTTTCGAGGGCTTTTTACACTAAGGTACCCAATATGAAAGAACATATAATTCTTAGTCCCAAGAAACTGATTGTCACTTATTGAAATAGATTTTTTTTAAATGTAAAATGAGGCTTGGTTACATATATATTTTATTATCTTGTGAAATTGGCTGTGCAGGTAGAAATCACAAATCAGAGTTTCAGATGGCTTTATAAGCTATTAGCTGAGCTAGAGTCTGATAATGCAAAGGTCATGAGTCCACTATAATGAATTCTGGAGCAAGTATTGTGAGCCCCCTCTAAGTCTTTTTATTTTATTCATTTTTTTTATAACTCATAATTTGAGGGTTTTGTTTTGATTCTGTAACTTTGAAATTTGAGTTCAAACGGAAAGCAGTAGTGAACCTGCAGCGAATCCAGAATCAATGGCACAACAAATAGCCTTCCTGAAGGTGTTTTTTGGAGACTAAATCTTTATATGACCGAAAAGAGTTTAGTTATCTACCAAGCTTTCTGCATCATAAAAACCTTAGGTCTATGACAGAGTTTCACAATCACTGTTTTATGTGGTTCTCACAACAGACTATATATTAATATGCTTGTCTCCATTGTGAACAGGAATCCATCTATTCTTATGTACTGAAAGGTTTGATCAGCATTTCAACCGCAATTCTGCTTGGACTCATTCTGATGTACCATGTGAGAGAAATACAGGTAGGATTGATGTTCTAAACTTTTTTTAAACTACTCAAAGAAATGATTCAAAATAGATTACTTGGAAATTGGTAATTAAGGAAAGACAAAGTACAAATTTTTTTTTGAAATTTTCCCTTAAATTTATACATTTCCCCCAATTTTTTTCACAAAAATTAAAAACTTGATGATTGGGTAACCTTATTTCGTTCTAGCTGGGTTCCACAGACCAAGATTAAAATTCTGGCTGTGATTCTGATAAATTCTGTATTTAAGAGCATCATTTAGAAAGGGTTTTAAAGGAGGATCTTACTTGCAAGATCAGATCAGAATTTCATTGTCCAGTACCATCTTCGGTAAACTAGACAAACTTCCCCACATGATTGAGAAGGGGAAGAAAAGTGTCATATTAAACATTGGGTTGCATTCATTTTCATGATAAATCAATCTTATTTTCCTATATTTCAACAAAGAGAAAATTTTGTTAATTTGCAATAATTGTTTGCAGCCCTTTATCCATAATTCCTATTCTCGTTCTCAGCTCTTCATGGTAGACAATGGGGCAGATGACTGGAGAATAGCAATGACCTTTGAGAGGATCCTCTTAATTGCGTTGGAGCTCCTAATCTGTGCCATCCATCCAATCCCAGGCCAGTATGTGTTCACCTGGACGGCACGCCTGGCCTTCAGCTACACATCATCTGTGGCAGATGCTGATGTAGACATCTTTCTTTCTGTGCCGATGTTCCTGCGCCTCTACCTGATCGGACGCGTCATGCTGCTCCACAGCAAACTCTTCACAGACGCCTCCTCACGTAGCATCGGGGCCCTCAATAAGATTAATTTTGACACTCGTTTTGTCATGAAGACTCTGATGACCATCTGTCCTGGGACTGTCCTCCTGGTCTTTAGTGTGTCCTGTTGGATCATTGCAGCATGGACAGTCCGTGTATGTGAGAGGTATTAGTTTTAAATATATGTGTTAAAATTGACAGCCTAACAGTAAAAAAAAAAATATATATATATATATATTTTTTTTTTCAGACATATATATATATATATATATATATATATATATATATA